CCCTCCTTCTGCTGCTTCTCCACATACCGCCAGCGCCCGCGCCGCACCCGCACCACCCCCACCTCCCGGGGGCGGCCGGGGCCTTCCTGCGCTACATGCGGCAGCCAATCAAGCGGGAGCTCATCTGCAAGTGGCTGGACCCGGAGGAGCTGGCCGGGCCGCCGCCCGCGGTCAGCGGCGCCAAGCCCTGCTCCAAAACTTTCGGCACCATGCACGAGCTGGTGAACCACGTCACTGTGGAGCACGTGGGCGGCCCGGAGCAGAGCAGCCACGTCTGCTTCTGGGAGGACTGTCCGCGCGAAGGCAAGCCCTTCAAGGCCAAGTACAAGCTCATCAACCACATCCGCGTGCACACCGGCGAGAAGCCCTTCCCCTGCCCGTTCCCGGGCTGCGGCAAGGTCTTCGCGCGCTCCGAGAACCTCAAGATCCACAAGCGCACTCATACAGGTGGGTGTTTGTCCCCGGCCGCGCCGCCGCCGCCACCGCCTGCGACGCCTCCTCGCCGCTGCTTCGCCTTCTGCTCGCTTTCATTTTTCCCTCCTTCTGCTGCTTCTCCACATACGTATAACCCGGACATGTGACTTCTTTTTTTTTTCTCTCCCCCTCCCCCCTTTTTTTTCTATGAATAAGTAATTCGATAGCACACACAGGCTCCGCGCTGGCCTCTCTCTTGGCGGAGTCTCCAGCGCGCCCGCAGCCCCTCCGCCGGGACCGGCAAAGCGCTCCAGCCGCCACCGCCTCCGCCGCCGCCCGGGAGCAGCAGCAGCAGCAGCAGGAAGGCGCCCAGGACGGTCGGCAGCCCCCACGCGCCCAGCCCCGGGAGGTCCCGAGGCCCATGGGGAAGGGACCTTTGACTGGGGTCTCCCGATGGCACCTTCCTTCCTCACGGGACGCAGGTCTCGAGCGACCGCTGCGTTGCCGAAATACGGCATGGGAGGGGCGCGTGGGATTTGCTGCGGTTTGGGGGCTGATCAGTGCGGTCTCACCCGGGAATCAGGGGTCCCGGTGCCACCGGGTCCGCTTGAGGAAGGCCTGAGGGAGAGAGTACAGCACCCTGGGACCTTAGGAGGTATCCAGCCATTCACACGCTCTTCACGGGAGCGCATCTTACACCAGTTCACACATTTCCGACCTCGTGCACACACTCCTGTGACACCACGACCTTCCTCATCCGCACACTCTCACTCAACACTTCATTTACATGCCCTCACACACGTTCCGCCGGCCCTGCCTAGAGTGTGTTGGGGCACTGGAGAAGTTGGCTTTTGTCCTTTTAAAGAAGGTTTTAGCACCAGTGAGGGTGGGTTCCTGGGTCGGTAAGGCCTAACCCTCTGTGGAACTTGGGGAAAACTCTCAACACCGTGAGGATCCTCCTATTGTAACCCACGTCGTGGCTCTGGTGTGGAAGGCTGGGGCGTGGGACAGTATAGGGACGGATCCTGCGGCCCTTGTAGAATGCACAACCGTGCCAAGCAAAGCGCTGTGGAGCGCGGGTGTAGTCGAGATTTATATGAGAGACAATATTACTCCTCCGAGGACACTTAGGTAACCCGAGTTTACATTCAATAATCATTTGACTGATTTATCTGTGCATCTGGGACGAAGAGGCAGCCCCAGACATGGGCCCTTATGTAGGACCTACCGGCCTGAGGTCTTTACGAGAGCATCCTGGTTAGCAGCCCCAGGCCTTGCTTTTGTGGCCCTACACCTTGCAGGCGTCCCTGTGACCCGCAGGACCCGGAGGAGGATAGGACTGTCCAGAAGTACATTTTCCCTCGAGGCCTTTTTTTTTCCCCTTCCCTTTCCGTAACTGGGATCAATTCTCCTTAATGACTTTTCCAAACGGAAACTTCCCACGAGACTCTCGTAAAAACAACCAGGCCAGCTAAGGCAGCAGAATGCAAAACACTTGCCCCACGCAGCCAGGGCTAAAGGGAACTTAAAATGCTGCGCAGGAGGTTTTGGGCGCTCTCCACTTTCCCAGGCTTCGAGGCAAGTGGACCTTAACCTGGAGGCTACTGGCAGCTGACCAAGAAGAAACTGACTGACAGATTCCCATCATGGCTTTTGGGTTCCCACAGGATAGGTTGCCCTCTGACCCTTTCCGTGGCAGCAAGTGATGGGATTTTCTTGCTGGTTCCACGTAGTAGGGATGATTACATCGCTTGTTCCTACTCCCAGAGGCGGCATGGACCCTTGCAGGTGGAGCTGGTGGGGCGCCCCTCCAGAGGGACTGATACTGGCACCGCCAGATTCGGTGCTTAGCCAGCGGACTACTGTTTGGCAGTCCCAGGGTTTTCTGAGCCAATGGCATTGTATCGAGAGATAGACCATCTCTACTTCCTTTCCTCCCTGCCATACTGCCTTCCCTTGTGGGGTTATCTGGGATCCCAGAACAGATGGATCAAAGGACTAATCCCCAGACCACTCCTGAAGGCCTGTTTCCTGACCCACGTGCCCTACAGCTGCATTTATAACCTGTGTCTGGCCGGTGTCTAGAGGGAGTTGGCAAGATCTAGGCGATATTCACAGGCTCTTTGCTACAAGCACCAAGTCTCCAAAACTCTGCATAGTTCAATTTTGACATGACCCCTCTGTCAGCGTCTGTAACGGAAACACTGGGGTCGCCCAGCCCTTCTGGTTAGACACTCCCTGGCCCCTAAGCAACATTGGCTGTTAAATTGTATCTAACTTCTTTTTCTTCCTCTCTCCGGCCCCTGTTCTTTATTCGCTCCCCTCTTTCTTGCTTTCCACCCACATCTCCTTCACTGAGTCCTGCTTCTTTTTCTCCAGTGGAATGGAGGAACCAGCAATATTCAACACTTGCTTTTCCCAATCCAGATATGTAGGCTGCTCAGAAAAATGAGAATTTTGAAAAGTAGTGTATTTGCTTAGAATGCATAAAACCACTTAAGCCTTCATATTGAAGGGCTGATTTTATGTGTATGTATACAGGACATGTATATAAATATATAACACATAGTAAATATTTAAAAGATGCTCTGTTAAATAAGGCTTACCTTGAACTTGTAATACAGAAATCCTGACAAATCCATGTTTTGATAGGAAGGGATTAATTAATCTGCAGAGAATTTTTAAAGGTTGTGATTATCATTGTGAGCTGTGTATCTCGTCGACTGGTGGGTTAATGTAGGAGGTACATTTCAAGAATAACTAATTTCCTTTTTAAACAGTATTCTGGAAAGTTATATTTTAGGCACCTAAATACTTTCAGCTGTATTATACTCTGGCATTAAAGCAGTTACCATTGGTGGAATATGAAAGAAAAAAGACCTCATTGAAATATTGGTATGAAGAAAATAAGATAATTACCCACAGAGGTTTATCTATTGTTATGCCTTTTGAAATATATTATCCAAAACAAAGAACATTTCCCTACGTTCTAGGTCAGAGCAGCTGCTGGTGTTTTGTTTTGTTTTTTAATCCTCTCAGTAGAAAAAAAATAGTATTAAAAACAGTATTATGGGATGACTTATCAGTTTGGGGCCTGAATACATCAAGCTCATAGATACTGAGGTCAGAGGGAAGCTCAATTATAATCTGACCTGTTGTCATCTTCTCTTTTTCATAAACACCAAAGTGGTGGCTAAATTTCCCTAGTTACAGCTTACTAAACAGTGTTACTTCCTGGACATGTGGCCTTATGTTTAAGGAGTTGTGTTCTTGGGGCTGATGGGAAAATTTTAAAAAGGTGGTAGGTCAAAGGACCTCTTTTTTTTTTATGGTTTTGATTATTAAGGAGTGAAGAAAACTGTCAGGGTAGGTGTCTTTAGGGTACAGGGTAGAGGCAGTGTGAACTAGTGTCTGCTCACACACAGTTATAGGGGTAGTTGGTGGAACACAGACACCAGTGGCCTGGCCTCTGCCCAGCCAACTTTGTAAAATCTCAGGATAAGATTGTGTGTTCACAGGTGTCATTATTTCTGAAGAGAGAAGTGTGTTTAGTTTTTCTCCTTTCGTTTCTCACCAGTGAATCTAGGGAGAGTCTCAATAATATGCCATTATCATCTCTCCATGCCCCCAAGCTACTGTAAATTAGTATATATGTTTGTGTGTGTTTTTCTTTTTCTATGATTCTCATTTATAACCATTGTTTTGGAAATATGGTTTCATTGGTGTTTATCTTAACAGGGAATCTTCCACTTGTGTTCAGACCTTAAGGGAGTGTGTGTGTGTGTGTGTGTGTGTGTGTGTGTGTGTGTGTGTGTGGCATGGAAGGCCTTGGTGGCTTTCAGAGGCACATCCTGGACTTTACTTCAGATTTCACTCTGACCCCTCTGGTGCTCCCCAAATCCAAGCAAAGCCTCCAGGCCAGTGGACACAGCCCAGTCCTGGCAGTGTCTGGAATACTGCAACTAGGAATAAAGCTGGGAGTTGCTCTTGGGGGAAGGGGGACAGGGATGTACCCCTAGCTCTGTTCTAAGATTGCATCACATGAGAGGTCTCTGGAAAGCCATTGTTAACCTTTCCTGTGTTTCGTTACAGGGGAAAAGCCTTTCAAATGTGAATTTGATGGTTGCGACAGGAAGTTTGCCAACAGCAGTGATCGAAAGAAGCACTCCCATGTCCACACCAGCGACAAGCCGTACTACTGTAAGATTCGAGGCTGTGATAAATCCTATACCCACCCGAGCTCTCTGAGGAAGCACATGAAGATCCACTGCAAGTCCCCCCCACCTTCTCCAGGAGCCCTTGGTTACTCATCAGTGGGGACTCCAGTGGGTGACACTTTGTCCCCTGTGCTGGACCCAACCAGGAGTCGATCCAGCACTCTGTCCCCTCAGGTGACCAACCTCAATGAGTGGTACGTTTGCCAGGCCAGTGGGGCCCCCAGCCACCTCCACACACCTTCCAGCAACGGAACCACCTCTGAGTCTGAAGACGAGGAAATGTACGGGAATCCTGAAGTCGTGCGGACGATACATTAGAATGGTTATTAATAAGTGATAGTAAGTGGGAGCCCTTGGACCACATCCTAACCTGAGACAATGCCGAGCCTGAGACAAGCTGGTGACTCAGACTTGCAACCGGGTCTAATTAGCCCTATTTATTCAGTATGAAACCCTATGGTGTTTATACATTTAATTAATTTAATTAAGATATTTTGTTTTTTTTTTCTTTCTCCTAAAAAAAAAAACACAAATGAAAAAGAAAACAGGACTGGAGGTGCATTCAGTGCTAGAGTGCTTGCCTGGCATGCCTGAGGCCCTGGGTTCAATCTCTAGCACACACACACAAAAAGAAGTAATAGCAAACCAATAAAAAGCAACCAAGCTGGACTTATCCATTGCAGTAGGACAGACATGGAGGCAGAGTCTAGTGGGGGAAAATTAGTGGAGAAATTGAGATATACACTGCCAATACGGTGTGTGTGTGTGTGTGTGTGTCTGTGTGTCTGTGTGTGTGTGTGTGTGGAGTATACTATTAAGCAAGAGAAAAAAGAACATTAAGTCAGACCTTAACACATCAACCAGGCCCTCTCCATGCCCCAGAGTGCCTCTCAGATGCCTTTGACACCGTAATGAGGGCTTTTGAGCCCTCTCCTAGAGACCTAATTCTGCAAAGGCCTCTTGATTGTAAAACACACACTTGCTGCATTGACAACAGATCCTGGACTGTGCCTGTATCCAAAAGTCTTTGTATAAAAAAACAAACAAACAAAACTTTAATTTTTAATATTTATCATTTTAATTCCTGTGCTTTTATTACCAATCTCACCGTGACATGATATTTTTATACAGGATTGTTCCTTCAGTATCTTTCCTTGCATGATTTCAAAAAAAATGAAACAGAAAAACAAGCCAAGTACAGTCACCTTGATACATCTCCCTCTGTCATGCACTGTGATTGTTCAAGCAGGAATAGAGGATAGGAGCTGCTGAGACAGACTACTGGGAAACTGTGATCTTTTGTAAACTAGAAGTAATCCAAGTGCTTTCTTTTCCCTCTGCTGGGCTGTGTTTCGTTTTTAAACTGGGAATTTCAGATGCTGCCTCTGGCTGTGTCCTAACCTGTTGGGTAATAAGTCATGAGTTATGTTTTGACCACGAGTTTTTTGGGGGTGCCAGCATGCATAGTTAAGGCTGAGGAGGTGTTAAGTTGCATCCTGCCTATTTTTTTAAAGCTTTTTTTTCTTTTCTCTGAACAGGCCAACTATCTTTTCATACTACCGTATCAACCTTTTTTAAAAGTTATTGTTAATGCATTTTTCCACCTGTGCCATGAGCACTAAATCCTCTTCCATCTGAAAGTGACAATGTGAAGTATATGATTTACATTACAAGAGGAGGAGTTCCTATACGTGTTAAGTTTTTTAAAGGGTTTATAGTTACCACCAAACACTGATGAATGTGTGACCTTTGCCAGAGCTGTCAGGCCAGGATACAAAGGGTCAAGGACCTAGGACAATAACTCTTGGTCAGTTTGTGTTCAGTTGGTACAACACATCTCCTGTGCAAACTGTAGCCCAGCAGAAACATCACACACATATACTAAAGAGCAGTAATTTACCCTCAGAGACCTTAAAGACATTCCCCTCCCCAGGATTTGTAGAAATCTGTTTTGTGTGCTGTGAGTGGTTGATGTAGTCTCGTCATTGTTAATAAGTGTCTGTGAATACTTTTTATTTGTACAGGTTTTTTAATTAATTTATTTTTAAAGATCCTTTTCTTTTTCTGGAAGAGTTCAAAGCACACCAAAGAAATATATTATACATTTTGGTGAAAGATTGTCATTTATGACCCATGGTTTATTTAAGAAAAAAAAGAAATGGAAAGTGGGAAAATATAAAATATATTTTTAAGCTTACTTGAATGGACAAGGTAATGTGAAAACCCAAACTCTTCCTGCATGTCGTTTTGCCTCGTGTTGATGAGATTATAGTTTATAGAGATATTACTAGGACAATGCATGGTGCTGTTATGTGGACACCTTTCAATGTTGTCTTCAGATTGTTACAGTAAATACAACACATGCAGACCCTCCTTGACAAAGAGAAAGACCTACAACTTGAATATAAAATAATTCTACATTTTAAAAGTTTTTGATTTTTTTCTCCCTGTTATTCAGTTTCAAAGTCCTTTAAATTGGAAAAAATAAGGTATGAACTTGGGTGGGATAACTTATGTACTGTAAATTTGTTAGGACAAAATATTCCTGATGTATGAGTTGTTTTATTTATACAACTTTTCCCATGGTAGTTTGCACTATTCTTTACCATGCTACAGGTTTATTTATTATGAAACAAAAGAATGTGTATTTTATGTATTTTGCCATGCATAGGTTAACTCTGCCACAGATTTATTGGTTCCTCATGCACCGAAAAATAAAAACCTTAAAGTGTGTATGTCCATTAGAAAGAAGGCAAGAGTGGTGGTTGGATGACAAATGTAATAAAGGTATTCTTCCTATGGATTGCTCCATTTTACCCAGTGACAATATCTCTGTCATTCTTTTAAAACAGAACAGTCCCTATGGTAGTGAACAGTGCCCTTCCCTGGTCTCTTATCACCTTATGAAGGGGTGGGGAGAGGAAGCAGTATGGCTTACTTACAGTTTAATCTAGAGCAGTGGTCCTCAACCTTCCTAATGCTGTGACCCTTTAAAATAGTTCTTATGTTGTGGTGACCTCCAACCACAAAATTATTTTCATTGCTACTTCGTAACTGTAGTGTTGCTACTGTTATGAATCAAAATGTAAATATCTGTGTTTTCTGTTGGTCTTGGCAACCCATGTAAAAGGGTTATTCAGCCCCAAAGGGGTCACAACCCACAGGTTGAAAACTACTGATCTAGAAATCCCCAGAAGTCTACGGAAACAAATTCCTGCAGGTTACAAGTACAGTTGCACAGACCTCGGTGCCAGTTCCTTCTGTGAGTGAGAAACTTTCAGACATGAGGGAGGTGACAGCAAACTGCTCAGGAACGGTTTATAATTGTGGAATGAAATTGACCAGTGGATACCACATCAGCTCATAGCAGGTCATGGGGCTAGGGTGAGGAGAAGATCAAATTACAATTTTAGTTTATTTTGGAGGTGTAACTTGAGCTCAGCATTTTAGGGCAGGTGTTAGGCAATTCTTTCATGGCGATAAAATATTCCAGCAGCTCAAATTGATATGTTTGGCAATGCATGCTAGCAAGCCTGGCTGTTTACTTGTTTCTGTGTTCACTACTTACTACAAAACAGATAAAAGGCAAGTATTTAAAAAACAATTGGTAATCACATCAATAAGCCTTTCTCCAAAAGGTTATAGTGGCTTTTCAAAGTCAGGCCTGTTAAACCTAGGAAAGGTGAAACAGGTTGCCAAGAGTTGTTTTAAGCCTGATGACAATAGCCAGCACACGAATGGGAAAACTTACAGCTCTCTAATGAAGTTTCTTCTGAAAAGAAGGGGGACACAAAGCCACCAAGACATGAATCATTCATGGGAAATATAAAAGATAAAAGATATCTGACAGAGAGCAGAGCCTTGTATAGAGTGTATAAAACAAGTTTCCCCTTCTTATTTTCTGCTTTAAAACGCACAATCTCCCACTCCCAGCGTCCTCTGTCCAGTCTATAGAGTTAAAATTGACCACTGCTCGTCCTGAGCCACTTCAAAGTAATTTAGTCCAGAACGGAAGGCTTGGCGCTTGGACAATCTTCATGGTGTGTTAAGATTTCTATGGCAATTGGCAAGCAAGACGTTCCCATCTGAATATGTCTCAAAGAAAGCCACTTACTGACACTAAGTTGGCTATCATCAAAGACTTCATCTTCCCTCTGCAGAAAAAAAAAAAAAGCGTGGCCTTTGCAAACACTAAATCGGCTACCTTTGTTTTCCAGGCCAGGAGGCTCTTCAAACACACGGTTCTTCCTCGTTTATATATTTCTCCTATTCAGATGTTCTTTAGTAAAACGAATGCCAGGAAAGGCTAAGGTGCTTAGAAAGAGCTTACAGGGTGGGAATTATATTCTCTTGAGTTGGAGGTGGCCACACAAGTGCCCTGGCCCTGGGGCCTGAAAACCTTGCGAGCTGGGTCCAACTGTCTGCCCACTGAATATTTAGATTACAGTCTCGTAATTGATATATTTCATTTTTGTGGGAGCTTTTGGAGTCTTGGGCTTTTCTGAGTCATCTGGGTCTGCGGTGTGGGTTGAAGAGGGTGTCTGGCCACCACTATGCTTAGGTCCCAGTTTGGTTAGGAACTACGTCAGAGGAGGGGCAGGAGAGAGGGTGGCATTTGCCAAGTGGCCACCTTAAATCAGAGGAAAGGAAACCAACCCATCACTAGGCAGACAAAACAACCCACAGACTTTAAGAATCCATCCATCTGCCAGTGGTTTACCCACACACCACCCGTGACCTCAGGGACCTTCCAGGTCTGGAAGGACAGAGGAGAACCTCAGAGAAAGCACCCTGGGGTGGCCAGCACACTTCCCCTCCCTGTGAACAAAACCTCTTAGAGACCTCACGCCCACGCAGGAACATCTCAGAGCACACATTCACACACCACCTAAGAGTCTAATCAGGCGGGGAGAAGTTCAAAGGCATGTTCTTTGAAATTCAAACTAGAGTTTTTATGGTACATCCACAGAGAGAGTCAGAATCGCTATGGCAATGGGCAGGGCCAGGAGAGTCGCTGGCAGGCTGTCCACAGCAATTTGAGACACTCTATTAAGATACAGTTGCAGTGACCCTTACTTTCATGGCCAGTTAGTTCAGTCAATTCTCACCTCATCAGAAACACATGGGCAAAGATTATAAATATATGATATATATGTGCATATCATATATATTAGCTTTTTTGTTGTTAACGATGATTCCCCTATAGAACCTCCTGGCTTGAAAGAAAGGAAAAAGAATGGAGAGAGGAGAGAAAGCACAGTGGGGGTGGGGGTAGTGATGTCACAGGGTAGGGGGGGAGAGGCAGGGGCGCCTGATCCCCAGTACCTCTTCGTTCTTTCCCCACCTAAGCACTTTTATTTGCAGAGCGATTGTTCTTTGTTTATTTAATACAAGTACTGTGTGAATAGTGAAAAATAAACACGATGAAAAATAACCCAACAGATGATTCCTCGGAGTGAAAAAGCCCGGACTTAATAAAAGTGCGAGGCAGTCACCGCTCAATGAGAAACGCTTTGAAGTG